CTCATCAATCACGTCATTTAAATATTAACGAGTACTGCCGGAAATAGACAGATCTTGACTACGTGCTTTCATCATCACATCCGCACGACATTAAAGGATTGGAAATAAATGGAAATGTAAATCTGTCTCGAAGGCTAACTCGAAAGAAATGTAAAATCCATGTTTTTTTAAAATGCCAGCTTCCGTTTAAATGATAAAAAACGAATCTACAGTACCAGTCAACAAATTCCATTGAACTCCTATTCAGAGGTTGACAGATGTCAAAGAAATAAAATTGATAAAAGAGTAGAGTGTTTGATCAAATAAATAGGTTCCACTGTGAATAAGATTTTGGTAGATGTCTATTCGATGGTTTTCTGGTATTGATTTTAAGAAATTAGAAGAAGCTTTAGTCTGGACAAAAACCGTTTGGACGTTTCTTGTCAAAATCCGAATTGAATTGTGACCAAAGCTTTGCAAGTCTGATTGAATACAGATGACAACATACGGTTTTATAGGTTAACGACCTTCTAATAGTGATTAGACTATGGTTCAAAACCAGCGATGAACCTGTAGTTTAAACAGAAGAAAACCCAGCATCAGGGGCCTTAATCCCAATTTCTAAATAAAATATCCACCCAAGTTCTGTCGTTTGGGAGAATCAAACCCTCCTTTCCCCGAAAACAAATATAAACCTGACAGGTTTGACAGACGACATCAAGTGCTCTCCATAACAACTTCTTCATCATGTGTTTTTATATGAAACTTTAAAAAGGTATATAACGTGTTTATTATATGTTTTCTGAATTAAATGTTACAAGGTATTGGGAATCTAAAGGATCTAAGGAACTTTCCGACCACAATTATTTCAGAATCTCATTTTGCCAATCAATTTTCTATGAATAAGATTTTTGGAAAAATGATTTAACGGAAGAGAATTCTAAGTCTGTTAGGGACCATATATTTCTATCGACCTGAAGACATAAGAAAACAAGTGGCTTGAAATAAAGTATCTGCAATAACTTATAGAGAATCCAAGCAAATTCGATTTTTCACCAACAATAATGTGTCCAATATATCCACAGATAAGTGACATGTCATGAGCCGATCATGGAATTTCGACGATGTCATATGCTATCAGCCGTTGAAAAAATTATTTTTCTCAAATACTGCTTGTCGTAAGGCGGATTTAAGCTCACCTTTCACAGATTCTGCTGTCTATGTATGTGTGTTTGTTTTTGGAAAGATCTTGGGTCCTTGATTTGTCTGGCAACAATCAAAAGTGCACATCCACATTGAAACATAATGATTTGCGATGTGAATGAAAAATATATAAATAATTGGTCAATAATCTATATGTGTATGGTATTTCTATTATTCACTATGTTGAGATGTAATTACCGGAATATGAAGATTTTATCTATGTTATTATGATAGGATCGCAATCATTATCAAAGTTTAATTATAGAAATTTCCATTAACTAGTACTTAATTGTAGTGATAGTTATTGCTTCATTAAAAAACTCATATTATCAATATATTATCTCAGTTAAGCTTTATTATATTTATAGACAATGAGTTCGTTTCACTGATGAAATTTCACTTTATGATAAAAAGAAAATAAATACGTAAATACATCTCAGAAAGAACGCCATCAGAGCAGTGTGGGCATAAAGCTGCCACTATATCGACGTCCGTTACCATGTTCAGAGTTTTACCAGAAGATACCACATAAAAGAAATCGTTAATGTGCAGAGTCTGTACCACGTGGACTTTTATTTTTCCGTTTTTTTTTTTCAATTTATTGTTCAAAGCTTTTCAATGTATGTTCTTCCGACGTGCAAGACTGACAGGGCGAATGCGAGTCGAAAAATACGAAAATAATAATATAAATGATATTGTCATATAACACTTTTGTAGGACCTGGATCTTTATAACGACTAAACAATCACGATTCCTTACAACGTCACCGAGATAAGATGTTCTTTAAAATGCGTGCAGATATATCGACAATATTTGCATATCAGACTAAAGCATGATTATCACTGCTTCTTACGCATCAATATATTTGTCAATTTAAGTACAGTAATTTTCATACATAAGGTTTGAAATGTCTCTTTTTATTCAAATGAAGATAATGGGAATAAGAGCAGCAGACATGAATCTATTCAATATCAGTTCGAGCATCTGGAATCGTGTTTGCTTGTTACATCTAGTTTACGTGAATGGAATGTTTAATACAATATACGCTTTTTATATGCTGTCTATCGCAGACAATCTTAATGGAAATTTTAAAGAAGATTTTTATCTAAAAGGAATTCAACTTCACGGATGAAATTCTAGCAAATTATCACATTTTCTTATCACATATTCATTAATTATACTAGTAACATGGGGTATTGTGTGGTGCACAATTAAATGATAAACGTACTTTTTGATATTGTTCCGCACAATTAAACGTGTAAAGCCCGTAGTACACGGACCTCTATATGTTGTTCCATGTTAACGATAAGACTTGCCCAACCCTCATGCGTGCAAGACTAACAGAGCGAAAAGTAGTCGCAAAATTCGAAATTCGCATTTTTGTTTTATTTTGTGTGGAATGCTCTTTTGAATTGATGTTATTTTTACATTTCTAATGTTAAATAATAATATTGAAAATTTTGAAGGTTGATCTACATACAGGACAATATGCATATGAACCTTACGTCAATTAACTAAATCAAAGTGTAAGCTAAAAGAGACGAGCCTCGAATTATTTTGAATAGTTACTCCACTCGACTCAATATACAAAGATGATACTTTTACCTTAATGATGCCGCATTGTAGCTTTATCGTTGGATTTTCCTAACATCTAAGTAAAGCCTACCCCTCTACTGTATTATGGTACCAGGTGGGGCACGTGGGTGTTTTTAAATACGGGGTCTTGATGGTTCAGCTATGTATTGATACCAATTTGAGAGGAAGGTTATTTTCATGGTGAAATTCCTCAAAGTTCAATCGGAGCACCACCCTATGCGTGTTAACCTGTACAGATTACGGTTAGTGTTGTTGTACACACAAGTTAAACACTTCTTCCGGATTGCTATTACACGAATGTCAAGCGGTGAAATAAATTGTTAATGGATTACTGGCACCACAGGACATTGTCATGTAATCAGAGCTCTTCCGTTTTAGTAGCAAGTGGTCAAAATAGATGATTGTGTGAAAAGTTATATATAACGATTTATTTGTAAAATGAAGCCTTACCCGTTCTATAGTGTCTTTCTGAAAATAGACATTTAGAATTCTATGTCATCATCAAGGTTGATATTTCCGAAGTCTGTGGTTATGTAATCGACCGAGAAATTAGTTTCTAACATGTAATGAAGTGTCAACTTTGTGCAGAATTTCTCATCAAAATAATTACAAAGGTTGCCTTGATTTCAAAGAGAGGGAGATCATTACTTCAACATGGTAGTTCAATCAAATTTAACATGTCAATATGTCCTGAAAGTGTACTTCAGAAGAAACGCTCTACCAGTTAACAATTTTATCCGGCCTTATAGAAATGTGGACGTATATATTCACCGCTTCTGTCAACCAATCCACAAATATCTTTTTTATTTAAAGGCTGCAGTTTTTTTTAATCAATCCTGATCAAACTTGGTATATATTGATATATTAATTTGTTCGAATCTGGCAAATATTGGAAGAATGTCATTTCTCTTGACTTAGTTTAAAAACGCTTCAAATTATCGTGTAGACACGATAAGAGGTTATAGCTTTTCGTGATATGCTTATTAGTGATATCTCGTTCGAATTAATCCATTTTTGGACTTACGGTTTTTGAGTTATTGTCCTTGCATTTGGTTGACAACAGTTCTTGTGAAGTCTCCAATTTTAATATAAGCATGTATAGGCAAGTTGTGATGAATATCTTTGAGCTATTGTCCTAGATGATAGAAGCTAAAGTTATTGCCATATTATGTTGATGATGACCAAGTTACCCTATATTTGTTCATAAAGTCACTGTGGGTATTTCCAACATCTTCCAGTGGGTCTATGTTACCTTACCTGACAACCAATCTTTGTACATGACATTTATTGAAAGCATTCAAAATGAACTCTTACAATTCTTCAGAAGAAAATAATCAAAGGATGTCAATGGACATAATTCGCGTCTGATCCATTCATATCGGAAACATGAAGTCATTCAATATCTCTATTCATTGTCTTGAACTTGACAATTCCTGATTGTGTAAAATATGGGCGCCTTTTGATTTTTCAAAACTTGTGACAAGTAGAATAGTGTTAGAAATTACAAAGTGATCGATAGTTTAAAGGCACAGAAGAAAATAAAAACATCAAGTATATCAGATAGCCGACTGAATAATTTCATATTGTTTCTTCACACCATCTTCATCCATTCTAATTATCTGAGGATCAGAGTCAAATGAGGACGCACTTCCAGACCCGCTTCCACAAGAATGCTTCACCTTCATTCGGAAGTCACATATAAAATCCTTCAAACGTCTCCTAAAACTTCCAGAAAAAGCAAAATACAAAAAACATTTAACAGCAAAGTTCACGAGATAAAACACTCGACACAGTACAAGCCATTGGTTTAATTGCGGTTCTGGTTTTTCACTGAATCTCATCACGGTCCTCATAATATTCTGCGGAGGATTGAATAATAAGGTCATTATGATTACCGGACACAGTACACGAGTAATACGAGTTGAAGACTGGGAAGAACTTTGACGGTTCATTCTCCGTCTTGTGGAGCTCGACAATGGCGACATATCGGTTGAAAATTTGTAATATTCACATCCCTTAATCAGTATTAAGATTACCATAATAAGTATCACAATGTATGGTATAACAGCCACAAATAAAATATCAATTTTATCCAAATTCATATAATGTTCTTCAAATTCACTGAATGGTCCACAATATTTCATTCTTTTAAATCGCGTATTAACTCCATAAAAGTAAGTAATATAGGAATAACAAACAACAGCAAGCGCTCCCATGAATACAATAACTAGTTTAGCTCTGAAAACAGTACACATTGAGGGTTTCTTCAAGGGAAAATATAAGGCTATGAATCGGTCCACAACTAAAGCCACCATATACCAAATGCTTAAAAATGTAAATCCATAATTCAAAAACATCACAAGCTGACAGACACCAACGTAAGTTAGTAATGGCTTTTGATAATACAGTTGTAAATTTGTTAAGAAGAAAGTCCATAAAAATCCCGTATCAGTAACAGCAATAGCTGCTAGATAACGCACTGAAGATACTTTTCTAAACTTTGTTCTGGTAAACACAAGGTAAGCTAATATATTTCCAATAGATCCAAGCACCACAATTATAGGGAATATATAGTAATTCATCTCAAACAATGCTAATGCCAGCTTTGTTTGTTTAAAAATGTTTCTAGACGACACGGGTCGAGCCGGTCTTGGTTTTAAAGTGGTCAAGGAACTAATGTAGCTTCCTACAAGATCCATGTCAGTATCGTTTCCGTTCATATCTTCTATCTGATAATCCACAAGTGTATGAGATAATGTTGAGGTCGCCATTTTCAAGCAGTTATGTCACATTGTTCCAGCATCCCAATATTTAGCCTTTTTTAAATGTTGAGCGCAGGTTGATATTTTTCAATGACCACGTATCTTCATTCCGGTCTCATTAAATATAATTTGATTTTCATCTCCACTCTACAAACATTTGGATAATCTGCATTGTTGAAACGAGTAATCTGAAAAGAAGGAAAAGAAAGGATTTATGACTCTGCGTAGGGTGGATTTACACAGGAACTCGTAAGTCTTTCGTAAACACAAAAAATAATCAAATATCTAACCCTTCTTATGGTTGTTATCTGAAATCGATACAAATGATTAAGAAGACTGAGAACCCGTTTGTTTATTTATACTATACGATTTCAGACCATGGACATTTGAGGAAATACAGATTAATTTACTTGATATATATACCTTTAAGCGTAATGAATTGTTACCGATACCGTGCTGAAAATTTATATTAATGATCCCTAGTGGCCAAAAGTCTAGTCTTTCGATTTGAAACCAGCTGCCATGACGAGTTTCATGTTCTAAATACGTGACAACAGCCATCATATGAGATTTTGTCCATTAATACTTTACAGGATCATTAGAACAAATAATAACGATTAAAACAAGGCAGAATTATTTTAATACTGATTTTTTCTATTCTATTGGAATTGCTACAAGAACACGATTTGTCATTGAAAACAAATAACGCCAGTATTCACTCTTTTGTTGCAGCGAAATAAGTACTGTCATTCACATCGGGTTAGAATCAAAATATAAACTGAAGTTAATCTTATTCTTAGGTAGAATAAATTGTAATTTAAACGCACTAATAAAGCACGTCTGATATATATGTAAACAAGACTATATACATATCAGACTAACATTGTGTTCATTAATGCTTCGCTACTGCTTCAACCACTTACAAATTAAATGGGATGGTAGTCTTTATGCTTTCATTCGTTCCCAAATGGACAGAATTATATTTGGTCGATTAGATAAGACAGATGTCAAACTAATAACTAAGATTGATCAGGGACTATACTATTTCCCTTGTAATAATATTATCATTTCTTTTTAAACAGAGATTCCATGGTATCGTTTGGTTTAATTTCAGATAAAGCGTTTAAAATTAGAAAAAAATTAATTCTCTACTTAATAAAGGAACCAAGTATATACCTGGTGAAAATGATGCTGAAATGGATTATGATATTATAACGTCACGTTATCCACCATTGATTTAAAACAATTAAATGTGATGACTTCGGTTTCCTACTTTTAAAAGTAGTTGGTGCACCAACAGAAGTCATACTTACATAGACACGGGAAAAAAACCTGGAATCTCTCAATTAAAAGCACTACGAAGTCCATTATTGACCTTAACCATATATTATATTAACTCGACAATACATGTTCTGTTTATTGATAATAAAACCGCTTAACTAGCAATAAAACATTTGCTGAATATAATAGGCTAACAAATACAATAGAGACCTAAAATTATTTTATATCTTTATGTAGATACGGGCGTCATTTGCCAATATTTCTCTCCATTCGTAGCAATACTTAGTCCATTATTGGCTACAATCATATATGTTAACCCGGCAAGATTCCCGTTTATTACTAAAAGATCAAAGGCGGATCAATGACATAATTCGAATGTTACTAGCAAAAAGCAAGAAAAAGTTGCTCAAATTAAAGACACAACAGAGACTTATTATATTTAAACCTAACATACTGGAAAATAATACATGTGATAATAATACATATTCCTCAAGATCTCTCGAGATTCTGGACATTTCTCTGTAGACTAATGTCGTTTGAGGTGAGATTTTTAAATTAGTCGGACGCTAATAACGTCTTTGAAGTTGATAAGAATGTACTCTTATTAACCCTTGAGGATATTAGTTTTACCAGTAATAACAAACACAAGGATGCTCGTGTATGCCAAAGGACACGTTATATTTATAAGAACATTACAATATTGGTTTGCTATCGCCAGTACAGGCCAAGACTCAAGTCGCAGAATGTGCATGGGGAAAGATAATTCGAGCAAAATCGCAGAAAGTGCATAGGGAAAGAAAATTTGAGCAAAATTACTAATTCCACAACTTATGCTCCTGACAATGTGCTTCATGGCGTTTTTTTTTATTGGGACATCATCGATTAATCTTCCAAAAGCATAAAGTCAGTCATCTATGATATTAATGATTTCTATTTTCGTAACACATTTTGCTTCCGGTTGGTCGGAGGGAGGGACAGTTGAATCTCAAGTCAAATAATATATATATAAATTTAAAAAATAACAACATTAACAGGCATTAATTTGACTTGATCCCAGCTGAAACTTCTAATATTGCTCTCAAATCCATGGTCATGGTGGATTATTTTTTTCATTGACCATAAATTGATACCAATTCTCAATTTAATAATGAAATCACATCAATCGTTATCATAACTTAGCTAACTGTACACGAATAATGATTACAGCCTTTGGCGCAACTCTAGCATCGATTCTGACCCAATCCGGAGAGTTTAAGAATTTGGAATTTTACACCCACCGATAAAAATCCAAATAATTACTTTGTTTACTACCTTAAATGATTATTCATACCAATAACATTAGAAAGCATCTTGCCCACAGGCAACAGTAAGTACTTGTATAATTGAAAATATACATTTTTTCTTCCTCACCCCACACCAGCTGAAACTTAGCAAGGATTGCTTTTGTCATTGATGTAATCCAAACGTTGAGCAAAGTACAACATTTTTCTTATTATTTAATAAAATTTAGTAGGCGCTGAATATTTCAAAAGACTAACATCCTGTTAAGTTCTCCACCTTCCTGTGACATTTATCATACAAACTAATTTCAAAAGATAAGATTTTCTTTGCAATATGAGTTAATTCTAAATGAAGTTTTTGTATACATGTTTATTTTCTTCTGTCTAGCAAGATGGAACATAAGGTTATCTGGAATACAAAACTAACAACGACAGAAAATAAACATGGAGAACACTTCACCTACTCATAATAATAAACAATTCCATTATTACCACATCTTCACAAGCCTGGTCTTTCTTCATATTATGATACACATTTCATGGCATTGTAAGTGAACCCATTAATCAACAAACAATCAGAGATAAGACTCGACCGTAAGTAAGACAACTCTGCATTTAATATTACATGTATTTCGATTAGATTTGTATAGTTCTAAAGAGATTTTCTAACCATGTTCATGTGTATCAGGGACACCGATAGAATCGGTTGACATTCCAATTGTACAGAACGTTCACATAATAAAAATCCAATGAGATAACCGAAACAATCTGAAATGTTGACACACATGCAACTAAATGATATCGTTGGGGTTATATAATAGGAATTTACCACATCTCTACAGCTTCGACCAGTGGATAATTTAATGAGATAAAGCGAATGTTATAGCAATATAATAACCGTATTCAGTTCCCGAACGGGAAATCTGTCAGGACAGCGGCTTAATCTCACGTACAGACATTTTCACAATGATTTTTTATTTACGATTATTAAGATAACATAAAGATTATTGGAAACTGTCTTCAAAAGTTGTTTTGTTCAATTCCATCTTTCTTCCAAATTATATCAACAAAGAAGTGCAGCACTCGGGAATTCTATTGTAAACTTACATTACATTTCTGTTTTTTTTACAGCCATTAATAAATAATTTGCTCCCGGTTTGAAATAATGCTTAATACTGTTGGCTAAAAACTTCCAGAAAACATCAACTGTTGAAAAGACCAACTGAAAAGCTATCACCATAAAGCGTATCCAAGGTAAATAACCCAAGGCATGTATCGCAATGTTCAATTTTACAAGATCGAAAGTTTGTTTTAGTATTAGAGGGATAGACGTGCCATTTTGGGGGGTTGATTTTAATCTTGAATATATGCAAATAGTCTTCAGAAGTACTAGAAATGTATGAAAATCATATAATTCTTTTAAAAATACTTCAAACTAGGAATTTTACTCACTATTGCTATATATGTCTTTTACCTATATCACAGAGTATCTTAAATTGACATATCGTCATTTTAACATTCAAACGCAGGTAATTCTGGACACACGTGGATTTGAAGGCTCAAATTTCGACGGTGAGCTGTGAACAATATTCCTGATTAGCTTAGCTGAAAATTGAAGTTTCTGAGACTAAAGAATGACTAGTCTAAAAAAAAATGGCCTTCCTGTCCCTTTAACTAAAGTGAGTAATATTTAATGATTAAATAGTTTCAATTATGTTTGCACACAAAAATCTATATTACAAAATCACAAAGCTTACCGTTTAATATGTACACATATTGACATAGCTCGAAGCGACCAAACCTCTTCTTCAATCCATTACAACATACTATATTAAACTTATGCATTACAGTAAGCTTCTTTGAAGAAACGTCACAATGAAAAGAGTCCAACAATTTATTATGTAGTTTTCGCGCTAATAATATATTTCCCCTGTAGATTTTCCCTATCAATATTACGAATCGCTGGAGGGTATCATTTCAAAAATAGAAGTCTAAACGTACTCACTGAATGCACCTTAAATGTAATGCCTCGGTTAATCCTCTTATTTCTTACTTTTTTATTACAGAAGACAACAAACGTTAACTTTTTTGTCAGAAAACTAATACTTTCACAATGAGGTAAAGCCAAATGCCATGCCAAAGAAAATAAGACTAGTTATTGAATTCTGTTTCTGCAAGTCTGTCAAGAAATCCTATAGTTTTCATTTGTAATATCTATAATCAATATCGTGTAATCCTCTAAACAATAAAGAAATGTTC